GAGGTCTGGACCCAAGTGGCCCTGAAGGCGCCAACGTGCTTTCATGCACGGCGCCGAGTCGTCTTCTTGTTTCACTGTAACCCATGATTCGGTGGCTGTGATGTTTACGCACCCCCTCGGCTTCAGGTCCTGAGACTAGTCTAGCTGCACGCTTGGCTAGGATGGTGTTCCACTCCAAAAGCTCGGCCTCGTCGATCTTAATTTGGATTTCAGTCGGATTGCCTGACACTGGAAGCTCTTTGGCGGCCTTCGTTTTGAGGTATGTTCCAACAAGAACTTCATGTGATGCCCCTCACGATACATGGAGATCAACTGGTTTATCACCCTGTGAAGGTTATCACCCTTGGGGTCATACTGTTGCTGTTGTAGGACCTCGACTGAACATATGGCTACCTCATCCTTGGCGAAGGTGTTGCCGGCTTGTTCTACCAGAAGGCTATCGTCCATGTCATGTGCATGGTCATGTGCGGCTGACCGTTTGCCTGCTGGCTGCTCGGGGCCACTGGTGTCTTCGACCATGCGCTTTTGGCCCCTCCGTGATTCTACTGTGGAACTCGGCTCAACCGGTTCCGAGGCGGATGACGCATTTGGTGTGGTCTCCATGGCGTGTTGAATGAGGTGAGGGACGAGTTCCTGCATCGTATCTAGAAAGTCATCTTGCGCCATACGACCCGGCCGGTACAGAGCGGATGCTCCGTCCTTGTACAAGATGCGCCGTCGGACTGGCCGGCCAGGCCCATAGCCTGTGGTTGGATCTATCGTGTCCGCATTAGGCGGTGGCTGTGGGATTGTCCTAGATGGTCGAGCCGCTGGCAGCTCCTCGTGGACGGTTGTGTCGTCAGTACCTACGGGGGTGGACAGTGGAGGTGGACTATGGCCATCACTAGATACCGTCCTAGCAGGTCTAATCGAAGGCTGCTGAGTGTCGACAGGGCTCTCTTCCACTGGTAGCGGAGCAGCATCCGTCTCCGGCATTGGTGGCTCGCTCGGGTAGCTCTCTGGCACTAGAAGAACTATGACAAACATAAAGGTAAAGTGAATGAAACACGAAGAACTAAATATAAAGAACATGAAGAATATAGAAAAGCAGGAACAAATACAAAACTATCGTGATAAGTTGCCTTTTGTAATGTATGTAATTCATCAATGAAGGCCAATGTTATTCAATACATTTAAAAACGGAGAAGCATAAAAGGAATTTAGGAACGGTTGATGGATAGGATTTGGAAAATTAAAGAGGTAATAATGCGTTTGACTGAAAAATGAATGAGGTAAATATGTTTTGACTGCTATGATTTTGAAAAATTGAATGAGGTAATTGTGTTTTGACTGCTATGACTGTGAAAAATGAATGAGGTAAGTGTGCTTTGACTGCTATGATTTTGAAAAATGAATGGGTAATTATGTTTTGATATTGTTAAGAAAATGAAGCAATGAAAAATATTTAAACTGATTTTTTTGGACTGTTATGTTGTTTTTGAATAAATTTTGATGTGTTATACTGCTATGATATTAGTTTAGACAACTTCACTCAATCAACTTGTTTTTACATTTTTTGGGTGCTGGTGCTGCTGCCGGGTGTGGCTTGGATGCTGGTGCCGCTGCCAGATCATGTCTACGTCGAATGAAGGGAAGTAAGGTGAACAACGCACTTGGGCGCTACTTGACGAATATCTTGTTCGAACTGGGGTCTATGCTCGCATAGTTTTTGTGCTGCTTCACTGAGGTAGATGAGCGAGCCATGGGTAGTAGAACTTTTTCATGCATGGATAGAACAAAGTACTCCCACGAAAGTTAAGCATGGAGTTGGCGAAAGTAAAGACGTGTTGGTTAAAAATTGCGTTTCAGTAAGAAGGATTTTTGATCAACCCATGTTGTTCATGAGAGCTTGAGACAAGGAATTTTTTGTGACGGAGATTTTGAGATCATTGATGTCCCACTCCATTTTCGGAGGGTTGGACAGCCAAATTTGTCCTTTGGATTTGAATGGTCAAGTATATTCAGCTTGCCGTGACAGACACCGCTTGACGTTCATCAGGCTCCACGTGAAACCAAACCTACGGCGAAAGAAGCTGTGATCAAAGATCAGGATCAGGCGCAGAAGCAGAGCAGTTTTGATATCTTGAGGTTTAGGCATTGCCTGAACACGTCACTGACCATTTGTCATGTCCAACGTGAGGTGAGAGATTCCCGCAGCTCAACCACTACATCATCTCTTTGGGGTGAGAAGGAGATGAACAGAGACGAAAGTCTAGTGGTGAACTCATTGGTTCCACATGGTTTCACCACGGGCTCTCTGGAAGATTAAGATGGACACACAGAATTCAGGAACGTGACAAAATGAGGTGGCCTGCATGAGTCATCCAAAAGCAGTACAGTTGTGGCGTTCCCCTTTTGCCCGGCGGTATCCTTTTTTCAGTCACGCCTCACCACGTCACCTGGGTTTGGGTCTCGAGGAAAATGAAAGAGCAGAGCTCCAGCGAAACGAGCATATCGAGAGCCAGAATTCTCAGGCTGCGGAAGCCTTCGACAAGGCAAGTTGGAAAGGAATGTCCTTTCCCCATGTTTCCCCCTTTTTTCTCGCTCTCTCTCTCTCAATTATATGTACATTATATATATCGCTGGATCGTTCATGCATGAGTGAGGCAGTCGCTCCGTTGATTGCAGATATTGGCGAGGCAGGCCCTTACAGAGATGTCATCCTCCAAGTTTGGCTGCCAAGAAGTGCAAAGTCAGTTTCCAACCCAGTAATTAGCAATGGCCTCCGACCTACTAGCGATGGCCTGCAACTTACTAGCGATGGCCTCCAACCTAGTAGCAATGGCTTCATTCCGCTATTTGCTTCGGTTGAAGGCAAAGCATGCCCTCAGCGAAGGCTATGATTGCGAGGATGAGAAGGTGCCCAAGCTACTGCGCTTGATAGCAGCTTGCCTATGAAACCCTGGTGAGGGGCTCCGTGCCAATGAGTGGTCATCGGAGCACATTGAGTATTGCTGTCAAGATCTCAGTGCGGGGTCGAGCTCGTGCTTGAAGTTCATGAGGCCCCATCATGTCAAAGACAATCAACATTCCGCAAGAAAGATGTTTCTGATAGTGTTTCTGATATATTTTCGTGCAAATGAAGGCTGCAAAAGAGCTTGACTTGGAGTATTGTGCCTAGGTGTGAACAACGACGTCGGATGTGATGCTATTCCCTCAGCTTGTATGTTTGCTCCCATGGTCCCATGGAGCAGTGCTTAAGCCACCAAGGCCCTGCCTTCGGCCAACTGCGACAGCCCTGAAGCGATCACAGACTGGACAGGGATGTCCTTCAAGATTCTGCAGTGACCTGCAGTGTGAGTGTCTAAAGAATGGGATCTCTTATATATCTTATATAATTGAATCCAATTGCTGGGGTTATATAGACTCTAGACAAAAATTTGTTGACAATCTGTTGGCAGGACTGGTTGGACAGAATCCTGCAACGAGTGTGGAGGGGGACGCAAGTATCGGTATCGCAGGAGGGGCGCCGGAGTGACATGAGGTGAAATTGAGTGAAATGAAGTGAAAGACAGAGACACAAAACGGAGGTGAAGCATGACCCTTGACATCATTCGACCTTTGCATACAGTCTGTACAGTTTGCTACCACGATCCACCGTCTAAAACCAACCTCTGAATATTGGGAACATCTGGAAACGCCAGAAGGTCCGGAATGCAATATGCTTATCACGTTTGCAGCAAGCTTTTTGTGTTTTGGAGATGGTACGTAGGTGGCGGCCCGCTTTCAGACACTGTGATGCCGCAAATTTGCCAAGGTGCCTTTGAAAGCTTCAACATTAAAGCATACACGATGCTAAATCACATGCATCAACAATGGTTTAACATGGTGCGAGAGTCCACAATCATCACTTCCCATGTCAGGCATGTCCACTTCAGAGATGAAGAACCTTGCCACGAGGTTGATGTCAATAAGTTTGTGCAGCCCACTGAGATCTCCTCTTCAGTGCCTGATGTGCCCAGAGTTCTTCACATTCAGTCAGGTTGGAATGGTCACACTGGGGTGCCTTGGCCTGTTTCACAAAAGGATGGAATGCCTCGACTCGATTTTGCCAGGACAATGCAGTGTGAGCTGCGGCTACGGCTATCGCGAACGGGCGAATTGACTCAAAGAAACGGAGAAACGACGCGTGACACAAAGACACAAACCGACGCGTTGTTTTTTTAAATGTTTTTTTGGTGCGGCCTGAAACACCATGTGAAGTACACAAACCAGCTGAGGTTCGAGAGATGACGAAGCTGGCCTTTCAATGCCATTTGGATCGGACCTCAATATAAAGAGACAGATGAGCACTGAAGTCTTTCAGCATTGTTCAGCACCTTCTTCCAATTGGCTACTGATCAGAGACACTGTCAGGATGGAGCATTTCCCTTGAAGGGGACAGTGCCATGTGAACGACCGCCGCGCATGCACAGCCAATGATGCTGGGCAAGATAACGCGAAAGGATCTCATTTGCAGGCTCACCCTAGTTTGATGAAAGCTGCGGAGAGCAGTGAGACCTTGCGCAAGATGTAGGCCAGTAGTTAGATTCGACAAGCCACACACAGCGCCTCTAAGGTAAGAAGTTGCCAAGCACTGGTAAGTAGAAGACTCAGGTAAGTAGTAGTTGAAATCTAAGACTTAACCTTTCAGGTTGAAAGGCATGGAATGGAAAGGCATGGAAAGGCATGAGGCATAGGCTTGCCGACCCAAGACTCATTTTCACGCCGACTCTGCGCCCAAACATGACCCAAAGAGTGTGACATCATGTGACATTAGCGCGCTTCAAGAGAAGCGCTTTTGGGTCAAAAGGATCACCAAAGAGTGTCCTGAAGAGACTTTTCGATACTTTTCGTAGGTCAAAAGGCAGGGTCGTTTACCTACGAGACAGTGACTCACAAACTAGGAGTCGTGCATCTTATGAAAAGCCATGAGAAGCCAAAAGCCATTGGTCATTTGGTTTTCGACTCCGCCCTCACAGTACCGAAGATCATCATCCTCAGCAAGCAGATCAGATCCAGGAAGACAGGAGTTGATCGATGAGTGCCCTTGGGCCCATGTCATTGATGGCCTAGGAGCAAGGACGCTACTAGGAGCAAAGGGCATCGCTACTAGGAGCAAGGACGCTACTAGGGGCTCCTGGCCTTACTACTAGGAGCAAGAACGCTACTAGGAGCAAAGGGCCACGCTACGAACGGGGCTAGCCTGGAATTGGACTAGTTTGGATCGTTTGCAGAAAAACCTTGACAGGCACCTGTCTTTGATTGCTGGCGGCTAGTCAGCTCTGCACTTGAGGTCAGGTCTGATGTTGCACACAAAATGAAGTCGACGGAACTTGCAGATTTATACTAGACGACGAGTGCCGAAAGCATTTTTCATCACGTAGGAAGTCAGAGTGCGAGTCATCTGTCAAGTGTGCGGTGTGAAGTGTTACGTAGGTTTCCTGCTAGTAGCTAGTAGCTTAGTGGCTTCAGCTAGATGTCCACACTTCATGCTTTGGTTGAACCTGGAACAAGACGTCATGAACATGTGAAACATGTGACGTGAACGGGTCATGGAGATTCTCGGTTGCGGAGAGCATGCCCAAATTGGAGAGATAAAAGGTGCCCATCATGATGTTCGATGATCTAGGTAATCGACATAGGTGTGTAGTTGTGTTATTCATGGAAACCCTCCACCAATGGGTCGTGGTCTATTGTCCTTCCAGGGGGTCAAACGGGGGTCTCCTGCAGACTCCATGACACGTATTCGCACCGAGTGGAGTTGATTCGGCGAAACGAAACGAAACGAAACGAAACGCGAAACGAAACGCGAAACGAAATACGAAACGTAGGTTCCCTGGTAGTAGGTTCTTGTTACTAGTAGTACGGCCAGGAGCCCCTAGTAGCACACGATCAATGTATTGAATGTTAACAATTCTACGCTCCACTTGTGAACGTGGCCTGTAAGTCCAGTGGCAAGGACGCGCGCGCTTCGGCTTTTTGATGCTTTTTGCCACATGGGAGCTTTGACTTTGATTTAGCATCAGGCAGTTGGGCCACAGTCGAGAACGTTGGTCTGCGGATTCGATCAGCGGCCTTACTACTCTAGCGGTGACAGCCCAGCTCATCGTCGTGAGCATGTGAGCTGCTGGTAAGGGGAAAAGCAGCGCGCACGGCTGCAGTGAATCTCACCGGAAAAAGCGAGCTGGAATGAACACAGAAAATGCAAGTCGCCAGTTCTCAGCTTCCAGCTCCAAGCGTACTAAAGTTGTACTACAAAGTCGCCAGTTCTCAGCTTCCAGCTCCACACATTGCTCCGCGTACTCAAGTTGTACTAGAAACTCGCCAGTTCTCAGCTTCCAGCTCCCCAGATACTCCGCGCACTCCAGTTGTACTACCCACTCGCCAGTTCTCATCTTCCCACTCCCCAGCTACTCCGCGTACTACAGTTGTCCTACCACGTCGCCAGTTCTCAGCTTCCAGCTCCCCAGCTACTCCGCGTACTAAAGTTGTACTACAAAGTCCCCAGTTCTCAGCTTCCACCTCCACGGCTTGCTCCGCTGCTACACGAATCGCGCTCTCGCCTGCATTTCGCGCACTCGGCACGCACGATCTCCGCAGAGGGTCGCGCGGTAATTTCACACATCGCACTCTCGCCTGCATTTCGCGCACTCGGCGCGCACGATTTCCGCAGAGGGTTGCGCGGTAATTGCACCAATCGCGCTCTCGCCTGTATTTCGCGCACTCGACACGCACGATCTCCACAGAGGGTTGCGCGGTAATTTCACGAATCGCGCTCTCGCCTGCATTTCGCGCACCCGACACGCACGATCTCCGCAAAGGGTCGCGCGCACACCGGACGAATCGCGCTCTCGCCTGCATTTCGCGCACTCGACACGCACGATCTCCGCAGAGGGTCGCGCGCGCACCGGACGAATCGCGCTCTCACCTGCATTTCACGCGCTTGACACGCACGATCTCCGCAGAGGGTTGCGCGCGGACCGGACAAATCGCACTCTCGCCTGCATTTCGCGCACTCGACACGCACGATCTCCGCAGAGGGTTGCACTTTCGGTTGACGCTGTTCGTCCCACCCTCCGCCTTTAAGAGAGAATTTATAAAGTGGGGAAATGTTTTTTCATTAGGACATCTCCCGTGCTAGTTTTCCATACTCACACTTGCCTACTCATGGCATGCTTGCATACTCATTGCATGCTTGCATACCCATCACTTGCATACTTGCACTGCATGCTTGCATACCCATCACTTGCATACTTACACTGTGCTTGCACACCCATCACTTGCATACTTACACTGCATGCTTGCATACCCATTACTTGCATACTTACACTTGCATACTTTGACACTTGCATACTTTGCACTTGGATGCTTTCGCTCTTCCACTTACACTGTGGTGGAAGTGTCAGTGTGTAAGTGTAAGTGTCGAAGTGTCAGTGTATGTAGTGCAACTGTGGTAGAAGTGTCAGTGTGTAAGTGTAAGTGTCGAAGTGTCAGTGTTCAAAGGATTTTCCGGAAGAACCCTTCGCAATGCTTTCGGGAACAAATAAAAGGAATTAGATCTGATTAGCTGGTCGGGATCATACTCTTGTGCCCAATGCTATACGTATGTTCCAAGAAAACATATTGTGGGATTTGAAGCTAATAGACACCAACATATTTGCCCTTCCCATTGTGTAAAGACACATTCATAACGGACACCGACCCTGTGTCAATCTCAAATCCCTGCTGCCACCAGTGTGCCAACATTTCGCTTGGTAACGAGCGCACAAGCTTCGACCGCGCCGATCGCTTCGCTCCAAGTGACCGATCTCGCCTGTGGTGAAACACCAGCTAGAAAGGGTTCCGAAAAGCGAAGCCACAACAAACTTGGCATGAAGTTAGAGTATATTTAAGTAATATAGTTATATATAGTTATGTGTATCTATAATTATATATTGTGATTGCTTCAGGTCAGATTGTCAGATAGAGACTCTGTCAAAGACTGTGGGACCTTTGCATGAAATCAGGTACTTCGCCCCTGGTACCGCCAGCATCCAAGCGAGACAAACACCGCAAGTCCAATGTCAATGTCGAAACACAATCGCAGTAGCTCTAAACATGAAGTTTGTGCCAATCACATACAGTATGACTGGTACATACTGGTACCCTTGTAGCTGGGGAGCCTAACATGTTCCGATGATTTGAACACCAAGTTAGTCTTGGAGCTGCCACTCGACAATGGAGGCACATTGCAGGCGCAATTGGGCGTATGCATTGTTGTAGTCTCCACGCATTTGGAACACCGAAGCATTGACGGACCACCTCAACCTCTGTATTGGGCAGTTCAACTTACCACTTCTTCATTCTTCATTTCTCACCAAACATCCGATTTACTGTAAGAGTCTGTAAGCAAATGTACGAGAAGATGATAGCTGGTGCAATCTATTTTGCAGTTGGATGGTAGGGATAGCGGATGAACACTGAAGAACCATCTCTCTTGGTTTGTGCTCCAGCTGTGACCGATTACTTGTGTCAGGTGACTTCTCATGTGGCATCTGAACGTGAAGCACCACCTGGAGCACCACGGGGTTCCTTTCAGGAGAAGAGATCTCTCAGGTTCTTTCTTTGACCAAATCCACTCATATTTCACATTGCATGAAATGGGTGCGCCTTCGTTGATGATGTGACGTTTTTGTTGCTTTCTTGGAGTTGAGACGATTCTGGAATACGACTTCCAAAGCGGTATCAAAAGGAGTGGCGCTGTTTGCGCTTTCTGAGTAGCCCCTCGGCATGGTGAAATTAGACACGAAAGCTGTTCAAGTGCTTGTCGAATTGGACGAATTGGACATGTTCTTTAAAATCAATCCATTTTTCAAGTGCCAGGTGGAGGCCTCATCCAAAGTGTTACGAAGGCTCGGATCCCGCCGCGGATGCCTGCCAGAGATCCAAAGAGCTCACGAACACGGTTCAAGTGCCGTTTGAGTGCTGTCCGGGTAGATCTACCAGGTGGTGGTATCTCCAAATGAGACCCTGGCCAAGATGCGAGGCTACGTGGTGCCTTTGGCCTACACCAAGGCTCTGAATGTTCTATATCTTCTATCAGGTCCAGACAATGCAGCGTCAGCAGGTTGAATTGTCAATATGTGCAACGCGTCCCATTAGAGTCTTCCCCCAATCTTAGACACAGCTATGTCCTTAGCTCGATCTGGCACGCCTGCGGGTCCGCAGTCCTTCGCGACCGTGGTCCTCGCAGCCTTGTCGGCCATTGGAGCACCGGTGGCGAAGAAGAAGTCCAAGGACTGAAAGTATGGATGTGCCTCAAGAGGTCCTCAACTTAAACATCCCAAATCTAGAAAGCTGTCTGAAATTGTAGGAGCCCTTGCGGTTCCTGTGCATTGGACTCGGTGGCGGATCTGTACCGCTCCATCCTCAGATCCGATGAAGGAACACAGCGAGACCGATGGACCACTAGAAGACACCCATTCCTGCAGGACCTTTTTCGCGGAAAGTCTGCCACATTGCCAAGTGGATGTGGTTGAGCTGGAGCCAACAGCCCCCACCTCAAGAACCCTCTCTCGTGGTCAGCCAGTCAGTTTTTACCAGAATTCTGTCTCAAATGTCTAAGGTAATCCATGCTGCGAAGCAGGTGCGCTTGGATTGCAAGTGAACATGCATGATGGACATGAGACGACACATCCACTTGCTGACAGGGTATGGGCTTTGCTGAACGCTCAAACATGAGGGTGATCCTCGAGGCATCATGCAACATATGTTAGGCTTGAGGAACAGTTCTGTTGTAGCAGGCAATATGTTGTTCATTTGATCTCTGCAATTCTATGTGAGAGTGCGCCTCATTGACAGGATGGCGCAACGTTTGCGCAGAGAGCTGTCCGTGAGCAGGCGCCATGTCACACGCCTGGGAACAAAACTGTTTTTGTTTGCCCTTCTCCCATTGAGGCAGACGACGCGCAAGAGAAGGGCATCTACGATGCAGTTGCTTGGTGCCAGTGAAAGCCGAAACCCCGCACAGTCAAGACCCTGAAGTACATTGCGTGGCATGGATTGGCAAGGTTCTGGTTGATGCGTATGATCCAGTTGGCAATGTCCCGGCACCCTTGTGGAGAAGGTGCAAACACATCATGAAGTGTTGACAGCATTTCAGATGATTCTGGAAGATTTCGCTGATTTCGCTTCACCACAACATGATTTTTTATTTTCGTTTGGCCAAGCTTTGCCCAAAAGGCATATACTTTTTCAGGCGCGAAGGCTTGGCTGAAGCCTTGGCCGCTGGATTGCTTCGGCCAAGGGGTGTAGTTGCAACAAATTTCTTACCACATGTAGACCTGGCCATGACCTCAGTGACCTGTGACTTGGTCGCAACTTGACCTTGAACCGCTTTGCTTGTCACATGGCATCATAGGCTGCTCCATTGGAAGCCTATGGTGATGCTTTAGCTTCCAGGGACACCGGCATCAGTTTTTCCATTCAGGCTGCGGGATATGAGCTCACTAATTAGTTTCAATTTCAACAAGCTTTGCTGCTTCGGGAGGTCAACAAAGCTATCAAGGCTGACAATGACCTGGATAAATTCTTTGACTCAGCCGGACACTTTGGCAAAACTTTGACATTCGAAAGGATTTCACTGTTGATATCAATTTCTTTCAGGTGGAGGGCACCGGAAACCGCTCTTCGCTCAGATGCATTTTCCCGCCCGAAGCACAGCTCCACGCCGCTCATTGATCACCAGGTATTGCCCTCCATGTTTGTGGAGCACCGCAGCTTGCTCAGCTGAAATTGGCTTGTTGCACTGGGTGCTGTAGCTGGCGCTTCAGGCCAGAGCTGGCAGATGGGCCGCTTGCAAATTTGGAAGAGCGGCTTCTACAAGAAGCCAAGAAGGCATCGATATGTAGATTGAAGAAGAAACTAAGTTCGGGTATCCATTGTTCTGCAAGAGTTGGGATCTAACTGTTGGGCACTGTACCCTTTTTGGACTTGGCAGGTGGGGAAAGCCACAGGTTGTCTTTGGGACATGCCAGATCTGGCTTGTTTTGCACTTAGCTCACTAGATTAATGGAAGAATCCGATTGGAATGAATTATATCCTGAGGTAGAGGCTTACGCACTTGGAAGACACAAACCAAACAAGACATAAATCTATTTACGATTTAAAAAAGTAAACTAAACATAACTAATAAACAACATGTAATATTTACTTGAAATCAATTTTGATTCTTACTGGACAGCAATATATATATATATATAGACTAAGAAGAATACAACAATTTGCCTTAACATCTGTATTCCTGACGCTTCGCGTCGACCGCCGCCCACACCTTCTTTTTTTTCGGTCGCCTGGGGAAAGACTGCTGGAGTGGACAGGGGAGGTCGGGAGTGGTGTCCAAAGAGATGGCTTGTTTGCCGCAGCATTTTGGTTGAGCAGAGGGTGTAGAGGACACAGTGTGGACAGGGGATGTACGCACAAGTTCGCTCGTTTGGTGGCCATGTTAAAGCCAATTCAGGCTCCAAGTTCGACCATTTTGTGGCCTTGCCCCCGCTTGGCTAGTCCACATTACATCATGTCAAGGCTAGCTTGATCGTTTGGTGACCATGTGTTGAGGCTACGTTTGTTTTTTGCAATAATGCTGGTTATGCGTTGCTGGTCAGGAGGGTTTTTAAGCATCGTGGGTGTCCGTTTTTTGGGTTGTTTGGGTTGTTGCAGAAATGTCGCAACGAAGCCCAAAAAAATAGTCCAAAAATGTACCTCCAAAACGCTCTCCCCCATGGCCCTCGAGGCGTAAGACGTTTTTCACCGAAAAAAAGGGCCCCTCCCCCCCTAGCAGAGCTATGAACTGATTACGATGTGATGATGACGATGATTCCAGCTTGACCCGCCCCTAACACGCCCTGCACCGCAAGCGGTGTGGGCGGATTTCAAGACGCGCATCCAGAACAATAACAACAGAGGAACAACACAACAACAAAAGCAACAAATTACACAAACCAAACAAGCAACGCAGGAACACAACAGAGACCTGAACAGGAAGAGAACATGAAAACGAGGGCAAATAAACCTGAATTACACAGGATGAATATCAGAAAACGCCTTGACACTAGGAACAGCGACAATGTTTGCAATCTTTTGAGCAACGCATCCTCGGACAGCAGGATGACATCAATAAGAGGACACGATCAGAGGACAAGGGCACTAAGAAGAGAACAAAAGGAAGACAACAGGAGAACAACATGCGGACACAGCGTTCGCCCTGGCGGCAATAAACAACAACGGGACGGAGAAGAGAACAAGAAAATAGCAGGAGGACACACACACACAGCAACAAGAGGGCACAGCCAGAGGACCACAGGAAGACAAGAAACGGGCAACAGACAAGAAGAGGATAAGAGGGACAACACGCGGGCAAAGTTTTTGCCGCGACCGACCGAGGGACACCAGGAAGGTAAGCTACGAATCGCCAGGAATTCACCAACGGGACAACTGGAGGACAACAGGGGGAGACTTATACAAGGAAATAGTCACCAGGAATAGGTGATTTTCTTTAATGCAAAATTAGAGATAGAAAATCCACCATTGATTGACTACCATGTTTATAGTTGCCTCTTGGCAGGCATCCGGTAAAACTAAATAAATGCATTAATTTATTTTTGGCCCTACAGGTTAATACCTTAACGAACGCATTCTTCATTTATAAGAAACAGACATTAATTCATTTATATTTATATGATTTTCTATTAAAAATAAATGGGAAGGACATATAAAGAAACATAGAAACATTTTAATATTTCTTATAATTTTTGGTTTTATGATTCATTTAGTTATTTTATCCGGCTCCTTTATTACATTCAATGGAAAGATATGGGCCGTTTTTTTGTATTAATGAATGAATGAATAAGAAATCGAGGGTGAACAATCTCATAAAGACAACTTACGATATCTCCCTCGATTTCTAGGATTATTTCTTACTGTAGGAATCTTCTTTATTAGTGGTGGATTTTGTAGAACTATAAAATCCTAAGTGCCAACAAATATAATGAAGAATCTTATAGGCATAAAAGATAATAAAGAATCCTAAGGGTGTAAGAACGAACAATGGATTTCTTGTTTTTATTTGTTTTTTTTACTTGGTGACCTGATGATCCAAAATACTTGGTGGCCTGATGATTGGAGAGGATTGGAGAAGAGACCATGAGGTAGAATTAGGAACCCAAGAAACCCCGACCAAAAGAAACCCTGGACCCGCTCTAGCCCAGCTTAAACGAGAGGATGATTGCGATTGGTGGATCCATTTCTTTGGGGAGCCACAAATTAAGGGTTAACCGATGGGGCACAGTGGCTCGCCTGGGATTCCTTGGGCCCCTTCTTGGATCTGGGGCCTATGAACCTAAGGATTGTTAACGCCTGGATGCCACTTCAAAGATCTACCAGATCCAAGAAGGGGCCAAGGAATCCCAGGCGATGGACAAAAGGTGGGGCACAAGGAGGAGTCTTCATTCTAATTCTCAAGCTTATGGCTGACGCTTCCACAGGCCAAGAGTAGGGGGCCCAGATCCAAGAAGGGGCCTGGTTAGACACGGCGGCTGTAAGCGAGGGAAAGGTCGTCCTAAGGTAGCAAAGTTCCTTGACAGGTAAGTTCCGTCTAGATGAGCGGTGTAAGGACTTCCTCACTGTCATTACCCTCGTCTCTCAGAAATTGAGTCATCCTTGATTACGAAGAAGCCAACGGCCTGACAATAAGACCTTGAGCACCTTCACTGACTTGGGGCGCCCTGCTCTTGGCCTGGCGGTTGACCCACCTTAGGTTTTATTGTAAAAGAAAATCCCAATCATAAAGGGTTAGTTTATAGGGGCTAGAACGTCCAGGGGCATCAATCTCATAACATGAAAAACGAGGATGAGATTGACGGGGCATAGTGGCTCGCCTGGGATTCCTTGGGCCCCTTCTTGGATCTGGGATTGAGAGGGATGAACCGACGTGAAGGTACTATCAAAATCTTTTTGATTTATTATTTGCACCTGTATATCAAGGATTATCCAAATTATCACGAAAGGTAGCGGTTACGCTACCTGAGTTTTCCTTTTGCTTTAGCAAAAATGTATTAACCCAGAGCTGTAGCCTATCTCTCGGAGAAATGGTCCCCGACATCTTCGTTTGCTGGCGGGGGGGGGGGCCCCCCCTGAAAAGTAGAGCCTACCTGTACAGGGTTCCACTCCAACAGCTGATATAGTGTGTCCATGCTTGACTGCTTCAAGGCTCAAGAGAGGGTCAATGGACCTAAAGAGCAAGAGGATAAGACTCTGCGCATAAAAGACACTAGCGGTCTGCACCTCTACCGTGTACGCCCTAGTCACTCTTTCAGTGGTAGCGGAGCAGTGATCCTGGAAGACCCAGGTGAGCTCCTTTCCTAGGCATAGAATTGCTTGTGGGCAAACGGCCATGGATTGGATTGACGACTGGGAAGAGCCTGATGCGGATGTGGCTTATGAGCCAGCAGCCTACGTGAATAGGCATGTGAGAAGAGAACCAGCAGCAATAGCAATGACAACACAGGTCACCACAAAGGTGCCCCCATCTTATGATGGAAAGACTTCATGGTTTTCCTATGAGGATGCCATAGACGATTGGTGTGATATCACCGAGCTGGAAGATGAGAAGAGAGGACCAGCTTTGAGAAACAGATTAGAAGGAGAAGCAGCAGTATACAAACGTGTATTAGACAGAGATTCATTGAAGGCTAATGAGCCACCAGGAGCAGGAGTAGATTACTTCAAACGAGTACTACGACCATATTTCGTGAAAGGATCAACCAATGTATTCCTATACAGGTTTATGCAATTCGTGCGATTCAATCGAGGATTAGCTGACATGATGAAATGGATGACAAGATTCCAGATTTTACTCCAAAGGCTTATGAGCAGTTGGATGGACATGTTAGAACCAGTCATTCAAGCACATCCCCAAGTCCTTGCTCAGATGCAGGCAGATGCAGCGTTGACGGGAGTAGCACCAACGGCAGAAAGGATTCAGGAAATCATGCAGAATGTCAATGGCAATATGAGAATTCTTCATCAGAATGATTTTCTTTTAGGAGAGAATCTCATTGCCTTACTCATGCTGTCACTTGCAGATTTGTCTCAGGACCAGCGAAACACTTTGACTTCGTTGATGACTCATCGTGGCAGGGTCCTGCAGCAATACACTACAACAGAGTTGAGGACAGTGTTCATCGAGATGTTCTGCACAACAAAGACTTCAGTAGACAATCCTTTGATGCAGCCGACAGGTGCTGGAGGTAGAAGATCATTTCTCGTACTAGACGAAGGAGAATTCGATGGTACATTTGGCTATTGGGCCGAAGATGAAGAAGATGGAACAGAAGGATTTTTAGATGCCCTGGACGATGTCTTTTGGGTATATGATGATCAAAACTTCTCGTGGTTCCAAAGGAGATTCCAAGGAAGAAGAGCCAGAAAAGGCAAAGGAAAAGGAAGAAGAAAAGGAAAAGGAAAAGGAAGATCAGGCCGTAGATTCTTCAGACCTCGTGGAAAAGGAAAAGGAAAGAGACGAGGTAAAGGCCATTTTGCTGATGAGCAACAGACAACTTTTCTAGATGAATACCTTGAAGAGAATCCTTATGAGGACACTTGGGAGTCAAACCAAGGAGCATATGATGCCATTCTTGCCGAGGATATGAATGACTATCTTCAAGGAGAATATGATGATGCCAATGACTTTTGGCAACAGCTTGAAGAAGCATGGTTTTCCCACAAAGGAAAAGGAAAAGGCAAGAGAAAAGGCAAGAAAGGAAAAGGAAAAGATAAAGGAGATGGCAAACAAGATGCAAACGATGCAAATCAACAACAGTCACGTTCTTTACCTGCACCTTCAAGAACTTCACAAGCATCAGGAGGTCAACAAGGTTTCTTTGCACATTGTGTGACAGCAGCAGCTGAAGTCCATGACAGTGAGGTGGACTTGCTGTCAGGCATGATGACCTCATGCCAAGATGAAGCTGACTGCGTGGTCAACAATGGTGAGACGATCTTCGATGACATGAGTGCCCCTGTGAGGTACTCTTTGTCAAAGGAGATGCTCACAAAGGCTCCTGATGGCTTTGCGCTTATGAGCGCTGATGGCTTTGCGCTTATGAGCGCT